AACCCACTTCAAAATTCTTGCCTGGGATGATTCATGTCAATGTATGGCAAAAACCACTACAATATTGTAAAGTAATTAGCCTCTAACTAATAAAAATAAATGAAGAAGAAAAAGAATAGGAAGTCTTAAAAAGAGAAGAAAGAAAAGAAGGAAACAAAGAGAAAAGAACTACTGGCAAATAAGAACAATGGCTGGAAATTAAATATATGATACTGGGGGAAAAAAAAAAAACAGAAGCAGTGTTAAAAAGAAAACTGAATCCAGAGACAAATAAATGGACAATAGGGAAAAAGGGAAAATTAGAGAATCACTCCAAGAACTCTACTAGACAATTAACAGAAATTCCAAAAAGCAAGAAGACAGAAAGTAAAAGAGAGGCTATGATCAGAAAAAGTACAGGAAAATTTCCAGATCTGAAGGATACATGTTGCAGATTGAGAGAGCTTGTAGAGCGCTCAGCACAATGGATGATAAACATCCTGAGGCTGCGTCACTGTGAACTTTCAGAATGTCAGAAACAAAGAGGATTCTCAAAGCTTCCAGATAAAAAGACAATTCAGGATGAACAAGGTCCTAAAGTACAGCTCAGGGAGTTTTATTCAATATCCTGTAAAAACCCACAATGGAAAAGAATACTTATAAAAAAAAAGAATGCATATATGTATATAACTGGGTAAACTAAACTGGATTACCCAAAAACTAAAAAAAGTTGGGAATAAGAAGGGAAATACATTTTACAGCAACCCTGAAAGAACAGAGTAGAGTAATACCTTCAAAATTCTCAGGGAAAATAACATTCAGTCTATAATTCTACACTCAGCCAAAAAGTCAAGTATAAGAGTAGACTAAAGATACTCTGGGGCATGCAAAGAAAATCTCCTGGCCTAGTGTACAAAGACAGTAGGGAAATAACGAGTCAGCAGGTAAGGCTGAACTGTGGAAGAACCAGAGGGTGACAGTTTTGCACAGCCTACCCTGGAAGCAGCCCATGAAGGCCCTTTATGGAACAACTCATGTATCTCATGGGCATTAGGGAGCTACAGTAGCTTTTGAGAAGCGAATTGAAAAGCAAATTCGAATCTGCAGTCAAATTGGTCAGCATCAGGTTTATTTCATTAAGAAAAGCATAAATGGTTTAGCCTGGAACAAGTATCCTTTTCTTTGTGTTTGTATGTGTTTGGGGCAGGGGGATGAAATAGTAAAAGAACCCCCTAAAACATCAATAACCTATAGCAATAAAACAAGGACGCTAAGACACTCACACAAGTAGACGGGAGCCAGCCTGGCAAGCCGTGACATCGCATCGGCAGCTTCATTCTGCCCCCAGTCTCGCAGCAAAATGTAAAAAATGTTGTTCTTGGATCCTGACCCCAGCGTTCCTTTGTCCATGCTGCCACTCATCAGCTCGCTGTTCTGGATTGTGACATCTGGAAGGAAAAAGATTATGGACTCACACAAATGATTATCTGTTACTTTGTCTCATTCCAAAATGAATTTAAGGCAGTTGAGAAATTTTTTTTTTTTTTTTAAGTTAGAGCAGAGCAAATAGAAATGCTGTCTAAAAATTTCTTTTTGAGGGGTGAAAAGAAGAAATCTAGGAACTTTTGAAAAGCAGGGAAGATCTAGTTTGTTACCCTATAGTCCTGACTCTGAAAGGTATTAGTTGACTCTCATTGTCTTTATCTGTGATCCTTATCAAGCTCTTGCCGTCTTTATGTCATGGGGATGTTTTGAGCACCAACTCAATGATGTACAACAAAGTGTTGTTTATAAAGCACTTTGTTATTCACTAAGACACAGAAAACTAGCAGTGGCACCATCGTAAAAAGCCTAAACGACAAAATGAAATTTGTATCTAGAAACAAAAACACAATATAAAACAAGAAGCCAAAATACATTAAAAACAGGGAGTACATTTATGAAAGAATGGTTGTAAACCTGGGGTGGGGGGGGAAGAAAAAAAATTCAAAATATTTATTCATCATGAGACAGCAGAGAATCCTTGACCTTCAGAGAGTCTTTGTGGCTCAGTTGTCACTACAGAGGGCTGCAGATCCACCTCTCGCCACAAAGCCTTGCTAGCAAAGGCCATTCTAAATCAGTGTTACTCAAAGCAGTCTGCTGGGGAAGCTCCTGTTACCAGCCTGGGACCGAGAAAGTAAACGCTGCTTGAATGGCATAGGTCTGGGGAACACACTCTTGGGCTGAATCAGTCTAGGGGACTCAGAGGACTCATATTTAAATGTTCTCACTGTTATACCTGGGGCTTCCCAGGTGGTGTTAGTGGTAAAGAGTTTGCCTGCCAATGCAGGAGACTACAGCCGCAGGTTCGGTCCCTGGGTCAGGAAGACCCCTTGGAGAAGGAAATGGCAACCCACTCCAGTATTCTTGCCAGGAGAATCCCAAGGACAGGGGAGCCTGGTGGGGTACAGTCCATAGGGTCGCAAAGAGTCAGACATGACTCAATGACTTAGTGCAACACAGCACTGTTACACCTGATCTACATGTGATCAAAATATCCACTGACCGGGTGAGGCAGGTAAAAAAAATTAGCCTTTTCAATAATAGTTGTTAGTCATGTACGTGTGCTCCGTTGCTCATGTGTGTTCGACTCTTGGCGACCCAATGAACCACAGCCCACGGGCTCCTCTGGCCGTGGGATTTTCCAGGCAAGAATACTGAGTGGGTTGCCATTTCTTCCTCCTGGAGATCTTTCTGACCCAGAAATTCAACCCATTTCCTGCGTCTCCTGCATTGGCAAGCAGATTCTTTACCACTGAGCCACTCAGGAAACCCACTTACTTATACTTTTAGACAATGAACACATTTTTGGACATAAAATAATAAATTATAAGTCATAAATAATGAGACCCTTGTATAGCAAAACACACACACAAAAAACCAACAACAGAAAAAGAAGAAAAGAATTTGCATTAATTGGCAGAAACAAGTGACCTGAGACAAAACATGTGGAGAACATTCTAACCGCTGGGTTGGTCATGTGTGCACGTGACCTCTACCTTCTGGAGAAACACCAGCTGCATTTCCCTGAAGAACAAACTTCCTGCCTAAGGCCTTAGAGAAACACGGGATTTACTGGCAAAGCGAAGGGAACTGCTGGCCACTTGCCTTCCTGAGCCCTGGCCCCAACCTGCTTTCACTCACAAGAGTCATTGACACAGAGGTCCTCTCCTCTGCCGCAGTACTGCTTGCCCTTGGTTCGGAGGTTGGCCCTCACTGGATTGTCATCGCTGGGTCTGAGGATGACGCTGAAGATCTGCTTTCCCGTCCACAGGGTGACAGGCTGGAGGAGGAGAGGAGCCAGAGCATTAGCTAGCCGAGCCTGGTCTCACCTGCCCTTCACACCAATGAGGCAAGAGGGTACAGCGGTCACAGGCCTACGCGGCACCAGCGGGGGTACACTAGACCACCGATGCACCTGTACAGACACAGTCACAGCTCCTGCACAAACCTTTAGTATTGTGGGGGGTGGGAGACGAACTCTAATTTTCTCATCCTTGCCCACCAGTATTGAAGCGATGATCTGACAAGCTTTGGCTCGGTCAAAGAAAGTGTCCTTAAGAGTGAGGAGATAGGCACCTGAGGATGTTAAGAAAGAACACAAAATGAAGGAAAGGAATGAAATTGTGAGAAAAATCACAAGGTTTCAACTTTAAAAATAAAGATGGACTATTACTAAAAGAGTGGGGTAAAACACAGCTGCTTCTTGGTTTTCTCTTCCAAGGAGAATCCATGCTCCACAAGGAAAGGGACTTTGTTACTCATTGCTACATCCCCAGCACTTAGAAAAGTAAAAAATATCTCGTGTATGGTTCATTAACACAATCACACTCACAAACAAGAGAATTAAACAGCTTTTCAAGTGGTCATGTGAATGTGTAAATGAGAATCCTGGTGTTCCAAAGCCTCTTTCCAAGTAAATTCCACAAAACCCACCTGTCAGAAAATCCTGAATAGCAGCAATTAGTGGTTCTCCATTTCTTGGTGTTACAAGGTTTGCTTTAGTCTGAAGGAAAAAGGAACACAGTAAGTTAGCCATGTTTGGATGCATGAGGCGGCCCCAAAAATCTTCACCACAAACACTCTTAATGGTTATGGATAAATGAAGAACAGCAGGAAGGTGAGGCTGTGAACCGGAAGCTGGGGGTTGGTTCTTAACTGCAGCTTTGTCACTAACATCTAGTGCCTACATCTGTCAATGGGAGAGGAAAAAAATACCAGCAAGATTGACCTCAGAGGTCCCTACATTTAAATACTGTGTGGAGTTGTTCTGGGTTGTTATAAAGAACTCTTTGGGTAAAAGACGTTAGTGTAATTACAAATGCTCTTCTCCAAAGAAAATGTCCTTCTATGAATGATGAGTAGCACTGTGTTATCTTTGAAGTCAATCAATTCCACACTATGGAATTACAATAATGGCAGAATGGTCAAGTTTCTCTTGGTTGAGACACTAAGTTCGAACAACAGCACTTATTAATCATCAAAATGTTATGAGTGCCTACATGGGCAAAATCGGGCACTAGCTGTCTACTGCCTAAGTACCCATTTAAAGAAGGTTCTGCACATTGAGGTGCATCTGCTTGGGAACTTGCTGGCAGCCCAGCGGTTAGCACTCTGTGCTTTCACTGCTGAGGCTGTGGGTTCAATCCCTGGTCAGGGAACTAAGTTCCTATAAGCAGCTGCTTGGAACAGCCAAAAGGGGGGAAAAAAGGTGCATATGCTCAAATCCTTTATCTGAAGTAGAACGGACCATGATATCCAACAGTCAAGTTTCTGACACACCCATGTCTTACCTTTTTATAACTGGTGCTCATGCATATATATTCTCCTAGGAGCCCACATTTCAGGTCAGAAGATACCCAGTCCACTCAACTCCCCACCTATGAGAGAAACTAACTCCCTTACATACTATGGGGTGTTTTCAAATAAGACTTGTTTTCCTTCTCCTCCTTTTAAGGAGCTTTTTCTCAGGAGTTGGGCTGTACCACCCTACATACCCCCATGAGAACAAGGGCTTCTGCTTTAGCTTCTTCTGTTTGAGGAAGATGAAGGTTCATTTCATCTCCATCAAAATCTGCATTGTAGGGTGTACAGACACACTCATTAAATCTGAAAGTCCGGTGGGGCTTGACCCTGGCCTGTGGAATACAAAACAAAACAAATCAGGAAAAGGACATAAGTCATTTATTCAAAAGCTTCTTAGACGCATTATTTAAAAAAAAGGCTTCCTGCAGAACTGGACACTTTACATTAAGGAAGAAAATTCCTAGTATGTTCTGGTATGGATGAGTCATTAGTTCAGTTCAGTCGCTCAGTTGTGTCCGACTCTTTGCAACCCCATGGACTACAGCACGCCAGGCTTCCCTGTCCATCACCAACTCCTGGAGCTTACTCAAACTCATGTCCACTGAATCAGTGATACCATCCAACTATCTCATCCTCTTCTTCTGCCTTCAATCTTTCCCAGCATTAGGGTCTTTTCCAATGAGGTAGTTCTTTGCATCAGGTGGCCAAAGTATTGGAGCTTCAGCATCAGTCCCTCCAATGAATATTCAGGAATGATATCCTTTAGGATTGACTGGTTTGACCTCCTTGCAGTCCCAGGGATTCTTAAGAGTCTCTGATAAGGAACTTTGCAAGGCAGGCACCTCGCTGAGGCATCTGACTCCCTTACCTTCTTACCATGGCTAAGACAGCCAGCTAGCCATCGTGCGCCTCCTGAAATATGGCAAGAGGACGTAGCCGGCACCACCTATGAGTTATTACTGCCAAAAAGTTGAATTTGAATCTGATTATGCTTTGAGAGCTTATTTCCAGTTTACAGGAAAACAATGAAGCATGTCTGCCACACACGGGCAGACAAACAAAAACCATGCAGCATTCTTCAGGACAAATGACCTGGTTTTTTCAAACTTGACACTGAAATTAAGAGGAGGAGGGAGGACTGTACTAGATTAATAGGGGCTTAAGACGTGGATCAATTAAATGTGTAAATTTTAGATCTCACTTTGAATAAACTAGCTGCAAAAAGATTTCTGAGACACGTGGGGCAATCTGACTATGGACGGGGTACTAGACAATACCAAGAAATGACTTCATTTTGGTGAGGTGTGATAACGGCACTGTAGCTATGTGTGTTTTGCAGAAATAAGCTGAATACACATGGAAAAAAAGACATGGCATCTGGTTTCATCAAAAGAAAAAGGGACAGAGAAAACCAGTGTGGCAAAATCTTGAAAATTACTGAATATAAAGGATGTGAATATGTGAGTTCATCACAGTACTCTTTCTACTTTTGTATATATTTGAAAGTTTCCAAATAAAAATATTCCTGTGTTAAATGGGCCAAGTTTCCAGAAAGGGAAGGCTTTTGTTCACCTTCTAGAGCTCCATAATCATAAAATGTATCTTTGGTATTTCTGCCATTGAGCAAAAAGATTGATGTAATGTTTCCACAAGCTACTAGAAAAAAAAAATCTATTTAGAAAAACACTACCTTAGGAGCCTGTTTAAACACTACCTTGGGAGCCTGTTTGCAAGTGCTGAGGGATTTAATGGTTTTTCATATAGGAGAATTTATGAATATTTAACAAATTGAAGTTGCATCTTGTTTCCATTTGAAGTCTCCAGAAAAGGAAACTGCTGCTGTTGCAAAGTAAACTGCTCCAAAAAATATGCGATCAGGTCTTAGTTGGAGGACAACTGCAAAGAAAAATCCTGTAAGCATTTCAGTTCCTTAGTTAATATGCTGTTTTAAATCAAGTCAACTTTCTGCCATGTCTGGTTTACATAATTTTGTGCACACACAGATATGCATCTATGTTGTTTGCAAGTGAAATCACAGTAGTCACTTTCATACTAATTTTCAATTAGTTCCTGTTTCACTGTTGTGTGAATAGTATGTTATAAATATTAAAAACATTGAAGGGAAGCTTGAAATTGAAGAGTTTCACTCAAACTAAAATGGAGAAGAGGAAAACCAAAAGTTATGAAAATTTGACATTACTGGCAATTTAAATGTTAGATGTCTGGGGTTTTGGCGTGGTACACACAGCAAAGTTCCACCCAGCAGATGTAAACACCAGTCTCCTGCTCACCAGGTGTGCCATGATGCTCAATTTGTGCAGTGAGGGTTGCCGGTTGAATAGGACCACGTCTCCATCTATGAGGTGCCTCTCCACAATGTCCCCGAACTTGAGCTCCTGGGCCATCTTTTCTCTGTTCCCGTATTTCAGAAACCTTAACATACAATAATGGACATAACCTGTGAGAACAAAGCTTCCTCAGCAAGTTTCTCCCTCTTCATAGCAAGATGCGGTCGCTAAAATGACCACATTTCACTGAATTTAAGGTGCCTCCCTCCACATTGTCAATTAAACTACCGTTAACAGCAAAACTGTTTTCGTAACTTTATATTTTGGCCACACCAAGTGGCCTGTGGGATCCTAGTTCCCCGAACAGGAATTAAACCCTGGCCCCTGGGAATGAAAGTGCCAAGCCCTAACCAAAGGACCACCAGGGACGTCCCTAAACTACAACCAATTGATTGTAGGACACCTCTTAATTTTAGAAATGTCCAACTATGATAAAAAAGTATGTCTTAGAGTCACAGAAACTGAATAATAAATTGGCTTCTCGCACAGGGCCCTGGTGATGTTTGAATTTCATGAGATGAAAAGCACTGGTGATCAGCTGTGAAAAGCCAGAACTGGCAAAATGTGTGCCTCCTGGGTTATGAGTGCACTGAGGCAACCCCAGAGCATCCAGGGGACCCAGAAAATGATCTGCTTTCATATCCCAATGCACTATATCTACCTAAACATTAAATGCTAGAGAATAAATGAACACTGTGCATACATTCAAAGAACCAGCAGAAGAAACAAAAACGCACTTAGGCTAACTGCAATTAAAATAGGTGTTTTCCACATGTTAAAATATCACGATAATGTACTTTGGGCTGCATTCTGTGGCTGAGTATTCATGAGGGGATAATTGCATCCAACCACACTGTGAAAGCATTACCTCTTCATCTGCGTGTGTCTCTGCTGGATGAAATTGGCTCCTGGGTGAACTTCAGGGCCATTTCGAACCAGTTTCCTCAGAAAGTTGATGTTTGCTCTGTTTACCTGCAGGACGACAATGTAAGACAGAACGAGGCACTGTTGGGTTTCGATGCGCTGGCATGCTACACTGGAATGCGTCTCAGTCTCTCCTTTCTCTAAGTGATTCTAGGGCATTTCCCTGGTGGTCCTGTGCATAGGATTCTGCACTTCCACTGCGCGGGGAAAAGGTCTGATCGCTGGTCAGGGAACTAAGATCCCACGTGCCGCTTGCAGGGGCCAGGAAAATAAAAAGCATGACTGAACCCCTTGTGTGATTCTAGGAGAGGTACCTGTGGCATGCTGCTGCCAAGGTCTTCAGTGTAAGGACGACAATGGTTCTCGTCTGAATGTGGTCACTCACTTGCTGGGTGACAGAGCCAGGTCCGTTACTGACCTTTGGTTTCTCTGCTGATAAAATGACTGGGCTGCACTGACCTGCAGGGAGCTTTCAGCATATTCTGTGATCCTAAAAACAGGTGGCAGCTTCACCTGCAATGATTTACTGTGGGCTTCTCAGGTTTAAAAGCTGTTAACGCCAGAACAGCAGGTCCCGGCACCATGTCCCGCAGCCTACCGGACAACAGTCTTGCGGGGCACTGTCTCAGAGAAGGAAATTTAACTCATCCAAGGACATTATATTTTTTAAAAAATTCTGACTGCACTGAGTCTCTGCTGTAGCTCTTCCTGAGGTGTGTGCAAGGTTAGCTGCCTTGTAGCACGTGGGATCTTGGTTCCCTGACCAGGGACTGAACCTGTGTCCCCTGCATTGAAAGGTGGATTCTTAACCACTGGACCACCAGGGAAGCCCCAACCAAGGATACTTTTTACACAAGCTTTACCAGAAGCATCTATGGGCTGGGCTAATTATGAATTTCAAGAGCAAAGTCAAAGCCAATCAACATCTCCCTGTTACCAGGCCTTTCAATTTTCTACACCTCAGTTAAAAAAGAAAATACTATAAATACCAGTTTACATTCACGAGTATGAACTCAGTATAAAGTGCTATAGCCTTTCTGGTTATGCATCAACAGCTTTTTATTTTTATTTATTTTTATTTTATTTTTTAATATATATATTTTTCATTTATTTGGCTGCACCAGGTCTTAGTTGCAGCATGTGGGATGTAGTTCCCTGACCAGGGATTGAACCTGAGCCCCCTGCATTGGGAGCTCAGAATCTTAACCACTGGGCCAGCAGGGAAGTCCCATCAACAGCTTTTTAATATTCAGAGTCTTTGAGTCAGTGATTCTAAAGTTTTAAAAATGATTCTAATGTTTTAAAACTTCTAATGTTTTAACTCATCTCAAGAAAATTAACTGGATATGGATGTTTATCATTTAGTTATTTAAGGCATGAGGTATCAACCAGCACAGAAAAAAATCAAAGATGGAAAAAAAGTAGACTTAAATGTTTAATGTATATCTGAGTATTTAAATATAAAGGCAGACACAACTGTGTACATGTTGTGGATGTTATATATGGTGACACATGTGTGAAACAAACTGGAAAAACAAACATACACGTGCCAAACTGTGGCCTGGGTGGATTACTGGGCGTTTCCCACTGTTGAGCTTGTTTGGAACTTCAGAACGTAACATAAAAGACTGGATTTGGACAAAATACTGAGCAACTCAATGTACTTACCTTCTCAGGAAATGTTAGAATTTTGGCCACATGAACTGGCACAGCTACCTCGTCAATTCGGAGGTTGGGGTCAGGTGAGATGACTGTTCTGCCAGAAAAATCCACTCTCTTTCCTGAAAGATTGCCTCTGAATCGACCTAAATAAATAAAAATATATCATAAGTCTCCAAGGCACAATGTGTGCTGTCTGGGGGCAATGTGATCAGAAAGGTCAAGGAAAGACTGTGGTCTCCAACTAGATAAGCTGGACACACATTCCCCAAAATGAACCAAAGGCAGCAGACCATTTTCTGCACACACAGGTGGACACGTACCCTGCTTTCCTTTCAGGCGCTGGACAAACCCTCTGGTCCATTTCTTGGGTGCCATATTGAGGGGAATGCCCGAGAGCTCGCTGTTAATGTAGAGTGCGCACTGCAGCTGCAGGAAGTCCCAGTCTTCCATGATCATCTGGGTCTTAGCTCCTGATATCCGATGCTAAGAATGAGCAGAAGCAAGCCTGGTCAATCTGACTTTCTCCATCAGACACTTCTGTTTGCATGGATATACTCCAAAACCTAGAGTTTGGAAATGCTAATGGCAAGTGCTGACCTTTTTAATGACGTCATTTAGGAAAATGATTTCTGTCAACTTCATCGTCAGATCATCTTCATTGGTGCCAGACTTCAAATCGCTCACAACAGAGGGTCTGATACACAAAGGGGGCACTAAGAGGCGTGTGAGAATCAAATCAGAGGGCTTTCCAGCTTCCGGATTCATCAGAAGTAGAGGGATGTCTTCAGCTGGGATTCGTTTAAATAAATTCAAAACTACTAAGGGATTCAAGTTTTCCTATGGAAAGGAGGGAAGAGAAGAGATAGAACTCAGCTTTCCACAGCTTAGGCAAAGGTTTACTTCTCCATGCCCCCAACCCAGCAGTACCCAACCTTCTTGGCACCAGGAACTGATTTTGTGGAAGATAATTTTTCCATGGCGGGGGGAAGGGGGAGATGGTTCAGGCAGTACTGCTAGTGACAGGGAGCAGCAGGTGAAGCTTCACTTGTCTGCGGCTCACCTCCCGTGAGCCTGGGTCCTAAAAGGCCTCTGACTAGTGCTGGTCCATGGCCCAGGAGTTGGGGACCCCTGATCTAACCACTTAACTGAAAATATGTACAAGTGATGACAAAGGCTTCTGATAATTTGCTATATATTGCAAGAGCCCTAAAAATGGGCATGACTTTTATACCAATGATTTAAGCCAATAATTCCACTTAACTTTTCCAAAGGGTATGATTTTAGAAATTAACACAAAGATTTAGCTGTAAGGATGCATTAAAGCAGATCTTAATTGTGAAAGCTGCAAACAACCTGGCAGGTTACTGGCTAGATAAAAGCATGGTACATCCATATGTAGAAAACTATGAAGCCGTCTAAGGAAAAAAAATGAAGACACAAAAATGTGGCTTATGCCATGAAAGGTGTTCACAAAATATTGATAAATAAGACAGGTACATTTACAATGTGATCTAATTTGGGCAAAGATGTACATCTACAGAAAAGAGGAAATGGAAGAGTTTACCAAGGTGTGAACAGGGCCATCTTTAGCTGAGTTGGATTATCATCATTTTGCTTCTTTTTCTACATTTCACCTTTCTGTAATGAACTTGTATTGTCTTTGTATTAACTTCACGTAACAGAGGTGCCACGGTGTAACAATGCTGGTTATTAAATTTCCTTGGGATCAAAGACTGTGACTGAGATTATACGTGTTAAGTACAATTTGCCATACATAACTTAATGAAATGGGGAACAAAGTTAAGAAAAATGATCAGCTCTTAGAGCACTACCAAAGGAAACATTTCTATGGTCCTGCCCTGGAGGAGATGGCAGTGTGGCTGGGCAGAAGGAAGGAATCTCATTATAGGCTTTCCAGTCTGGGCCCCTGTCCAGAGAACAATGCATGTCCTCGGCTCCCACCTCCCAGCGATGGGCACCTCGCTGCTGTCAGAAACAGTCAGGGAGGAGGAAGTCTAAATCTAACAAAATTCTAGGGCGGGATGAAGGTGAGATGTCGCCTGCAGTACCAGTCAGTCCTGGATGAGGACATTACGGAGCTGAAGGCTGTCCAGGAGGGCAGGAAGACTGGCAAGACTCTGGAACCAGTTCTCAGCAAGAGTGATAAGAACTGTGTCCCCAGAGGCATGAGGAAGAGGCTGCTGACTTATTGTTAAATAGCAGGAAACAGAAGTCAGGGACTGATGGACAGCAGAGCAGGGCCCAGATGTGTACGAGGCAGAATACCCTAACAGCCCGAGCTCTCTAGCCATGGAGTGTGGCTTCCTCGGGTGGTGATGAGCTGACACGGCTGCACTGTCTGCAGGGATGATGTCATTATGGAGAGACCTTATCTGCAGGTCTACCAATCCCCGGATTTGTACTAAAACAGGAGTGGACATACATCAGCCCTCTGGGAGTAGAGTCCAGAGTTTCTGTCCAATTCCTAAAGGGGTCTGTGACCCACAGAAGGTCAAGAACCACGGCTCTAAGGTCTCTTCGACTTCAATCATGTTGTGCCTCCTATAAAGGCTTGGGGCTCCACATTGCTGAAAATTCAGTGGGCAGGTACACACGTCAGTAAGTGAAAGTCGCTCAGTCGTATCTGACTCTCTGCACCCTCATGGACTGTCGCCTGCCAGGCTCCTCTGTCCATGGGATTTCCCAGGCAAGAATTCTGGAGCAGGTTGCCATTCCTTTCTCCAGGGGATCTTCTAGACCCAGGGATCAAACCTGGGTCTCCCACGCTGCAGGCAGACTCTTTACTGCCGGAGTCACCAGGGAAGCACCGTTTCAGGACATGGGCCATCCCGAGATTAACGAGACACCTTTTTGCTGCCTGTCTTTATAAAAGGTAAATGTTAACTCAATAATTCTTTGTTCACTTTGGTGACTAAGTGGCCCTCTCTAAGGAGGGGCTGCTTGGAATTAGGCAAATGGTGAACTCATGTTTTGTTCCCACCTGTGGCCCAAGAAAAACCAGGACAGATAATCTTGGAGGATATTGCCAAGTGGAGGATATTGCCACTATTCCAAGCACTGTGACTGGCATCAAACAGGACCTCAGAAAAAGGGATCTTGTGAGGGACCAAACTTAAGTGGAAGAAACTAGCAGAAATATAAGACAGAACACAAGAGGTGTATAAGGCATAGCAAGTGTACAAGTGATTGAGGGAAAGGTGAAGATCAGTGTGGGGGTGTATTGCAGAGAGCAGAGGAGGCTGCATGGAAGCCCAGGGATGGGGGATTCCGGTGAGGGGAAGGGAGCAGAGGCTCTGTTAAGCTGAAGGGACACATAAATAAGAAAAGGAAGAAGCCTTACCTCTCCTCCATCATTATTTCTGTTAATACAGGAACATCAGTAATAAGGATGCCACAGTAACTAAGTCACATGTTTGAAGCATTTGCTATCTGCTAAGCATCTGATCTGGAATCCATCTCCTAATCCTCATAATAGCCCCAAAGCAGACACTCTTGTAATCCCTGTTTTATAGCTGTGGAAACTCAAGTCCAGGTTGGGCCACGTGTCTAAGATCATAGAGTAAGTAAGCGGCAGTATGCGTGCATGCTAATCACTTCAGTCATGTCTGGCTCTTTGTAACCTTATGGATTGTAGCCCACCAGGCTCCTCTGTCCCTGGGATTTTCCCAGCATGAATATTAGAGTGGGTTGCCATTTCCTCCTCCAGGGGATCTTCCTGATCCAGGGATCAAACATGAGTTTCCTGCACTGGAAGGTAGATTCTTTACCACTGAGCCACCTGGGAAGCCCCATAGCTCGAAACCACCACCCTAAATCACATCGAGGGTGCCACCTGGGTCACGTGGGCTGGTGTGGACAGGAAGGTGGTGGCAGTGGGGGACACAGAGAGGCAAGCTGGATGCACTAGACTCTTAAGTGGGAGGAGGTCTCCTGGGCCCAGCCACTCAGGACAGTGGTCCCCAACCTTCTGGCACCAGGGACTGATTTCATGGAAGACAACTTTTTCATGGACCTGGGCTGAAGGGGATGATTTTGGGATGACTGAAGCATACTACATTTATTGTGTGCTTTATTTCTAATCTAATGCCACTGCTGATCCTGAAGGAAGTACTGGTCCCTGGCCTGGAAGTTGGGGACCTCTGACTTAAGAGACTTTTCCAAACAAGATGCCTCCTAGGCCCTATACCATTCTACTGCAGAGGGTGTGGGGAGCAGAGGAGACTTGGTCCTCTGCATGTAAGGACAGTGGCCTCAGGGGCCCAGGTAGAGAGCTGGCAGGGGAAAGTGGTGATGGGTGTCAGGGAGGCTGATCCGGGGGGGGGGCGGGTAGCAGAGGGAATGCACAGGAGGCTGCAACTAAGGCCACACCCAGGAGAGCTGGACAGCCCTCAGACTCACTGAACGCTTTCTGCACAGCTGTCAGCCTGGAGGGGAGAATTCCTCTACACTCATGCTGGTAGGAGGACAAGGTCAGCTTTCTCAGTCTGCACCCTCACTTCCTCTGCAGGAGCTTGAAGACACCTCCACTGGGGCGCACGGCTGCTGCCCTCCCCCATCTCCAGGGGGATGGCGAAGTTTCCAGACACCGGTGCATCTGGCCGCCTCCTCTCACACCCGGTGTCACAGTGGCTGGTCATCACTTACTATCCATTCTGCCTGCACACTCTGACCTCTGGCTTCACTATCACTGCTCAGGGTCAGGACCTGCTTTCTTTCTACATCTCACTCCCTAAATCAAGGTATAACTTATATATTACAGTAAGCTGCACAACTCTTAAAGAGCTGGGTAAATTTTCACCCAGGTACACATACACCACCATTCAAATCATGATAAAGAATGTGTGCCCCTCTCCAGAAAATACCCTGATACCCCTTTCTCACTAGTACTAAGCCGTCACCTCAGATCAGTCTGGCCTGTTCCTGGACTTGATCTAAATGCAATCACACCCTTTGGACTCTCATATAAGGCTGCCTCCTCTCAGTAGGATTCCACGATTCAGCCAGGCTATGTGTGTCAGCTTGATTCTTTCATTCCAGGACAGTATTCCACTGCGTGGATCTATGACAATTTGCACATTCTCCTGTTGACAGGCATCTGGGTTGTTTCTAATTCTGGCTTTTACCAATGAAGCTGCAATGAACATACTTGCACAAATATTTTGGGAGATGTATGTATGCACTTGTCTCTCTTGGGTACATACCCAAGAATAAAGCTGCTAGATCATATGGTAAGTGTAGGTCTTATTTTGTAAGGAATTTCAGAGTGGTGAAAACATTTTACAAGGCTACTATCAATGTAGGAGTGCCAGTTGCTTCAGATCCTTGCCAGCACTTGGTTTTCAGTTGTTTTACATTTAATTTTTCTGGGGGGGGGGGGTGTGTTTTAATTAAGACTTCCCTGATGACTTATAATGTGGAACAACTTTTCATCTATTGATTGGCTGTTTGAATATAACCTTTTGTGAAGTGCCTATTCAAGTCTTCCTTCTGCGTTTAAAAATCAGGGCTTTATATTCTGGACATGAGAGTTCTTTGTCAGACACATGAAAGGTGAGTATTTGCTCCCAGCTTGTGACCTGGTTTTTCATTTTTGTTACGGTGTCTTTTTTTTTTTTTTCCATTTATTTTTATTAGTTGGAGGCTAATTACTTTACATGTTACGGTGTCTTTTGAGCAGTCAGGCTGTTCTAAAATGTGATTATTTATGTCTCTCCCTTGCTTAAAACCTTAATGGCTCCACATTCTCCAGAGTGGGAGGACCTCGACAAAGTGGGTTCAGCTGTCTGTCTTTTCTCCAGCACAGGCTTGTGCCCCAATGGTCTTCGCAAGGATTCCCTGTCCACCACTCACTATTATCTTGGCTGATGCGGCCTCACAGGGCTGCTGTTAGGATAAAATATGAGGCGATCCATGGAAAGAACTTGGAACGACACCGGAAGGTAACAGCAGTCACTAACTGCAAGGTGCTTTTGTTAGCAAAATGCTAGACTTTCGAACAGAACCTTGGCTTTGGAAGGAGCCCCAGCACAGCCTCCTGGACATGGCAGGCTCACTGCCCTAGACTCTCTAAACCCTACTCAGGTTTAAGGACCACAACAAACCACACCTTTCCTCACAGTCCTCCCTGACCAAGCCCCCAGATTCCCCACTCCGTCTTGTCCTCTCCATCCCTGTGACAGTCAGTACTGTGTCCCATGGTACTGGCTAGGTTTTCATAGATTAATGACCTACGACACCTTTAAAACCACAGGATTCCTGGGTGCAGCCCACTGCTTTGTGGTTCCTGACGCTCCCGCAGGTCTGACAGTTTGGTACTCAGTAGCCACTTAATTGTTAGTTTTGTATACTATCAATTCTAGAAGGTACCATGTGACTTAAATACTAATCGAATTCAGAACAAGGTAGAACAAGACACTTCATAAAATCCTACTAATTAAGTTTGTGCCAAGTAAAGCAATGGAAATCCGTACAAATTCTATTAATGCCGCATCCATGTGAGAAACAGCATCCCTCGGTGTATGGTTTACACGACTATGCTTTTACAATGAAAATGTAACATGCTATCTATATAATTAAATGTGTTAGTTCTGAGGACAGCTCACAATAAACTGAGTGCCGGGTGAACACTTGTCAGGTGGAGTATCCCCAGAGACCTAACCCCAGTGGACCTCCTGTTCTGGAGGAAGGGCGTACCCAGAGGGCAAGGAGACAACGTGTGATGGAGACAGAGGGAGGCAGGCAGCGGTAGGCTCACCTGTGCCCTTCCCAGGAGAGGTTCTACTTCTTTGTTATGCTCTATGGCGGTTTCAAAGGACTGAAGGAAACTTGATACGATGGGATCCACCACTTTCTTGTTAGTCTTGTACTTCTCATGGATTATCTTCAGTAAGCCGCATTTCTTGACAGTACCTGGAAGAGTAAGTCCGTTTTACCATGGTTGGAAAAATCAGATTATTGGTTAGGCTGGCCTGAGGTCGTGATCTAGGAAATGCAGTTACAGAAACTGCCATCATGTGAAAGACAAGATGTGCATCCGGCTCACCGTTGAAGGCGCCACAGTGATGACACGTGTTCTTCTTCCGGCACTTGTCAGAGATTTTCTTCTTCAGCCCTCGCTTCTGGAGGTAGGTCAGGCCGGGCCTCTTTAGATAATCCAGAAACTGCTTCTTCTCCTCCTGGGACAGCATGATGTGGCAGCAGGTTTTACAGATCATCTATTGAAAATTAAACAAAATAGATAAAAGGATGACAGGATGAAAAAGTATTTTCCTTTTTTTTTTTAAAAAAAGCTGTATCCACCCCTTGTCCAGGACACTTAACTATATGCACAGATCTACAGGAAGACATGCTTAGAGGCAGCCCATGTTCACCAGAATGCTGGCTGTAGCCACAGCCGGCAGGTGGGGTTTTTGTTAGCTTTATTCCCTTTCTCGTGCTTGAATTGTCTTGTGCTTGTATCACTTGAATTATTATTATTATCTTACAATATATATCTACCACCTACTCAAGGAAAATCAAGCAAAAAGAAACTTAGCAATTTAACTTATTGCAGGATGAAATATTATGCAAAACAAAACAAAACAAAAATCCAAACCCCTCAAACAAAACAAATATTACATGCTTAGTATAAAAATGTTCCCTACATGTATCCCCCACCAAGCTCACTCTCATGTCCCTGGATCAGTAACTTCCAGGGAGATGAAGTTACTGTATGGAGATGAACACATACATGCTTACCTGTAAGATGCCGATAACTGCTCGGAAGTACCCCACGTGAAAACACGGCAATTCCAAGTCAATGTACCCATAGTGGCCCAGACAGTCAGCCAAGTTCTTCCCACAGGTTTCACAAGGACGGTCCTTCTCACTTGTACCCTGTGGATAAAAGTATGATCAACAGTCAGTGGAGACCAGTGGAGAGGAAACTGGGACGAGCCCTCAGGTGGTCAGGGGACCCAGAGTCAGAATTGCCTGGCAAGGGGCAGGGTATTCATGTTCCCTGGACCAAGGAAGGCTGGAGCCCCTGAGATGTGCTGGGGAAGCGGGGAGGTGAAAGGAAGACCTGGCTTCTTCCGGTCTGGTGAGTCACCAGTTTCACCAGCCAGTCAAACCACATGGAACCACGAGGGGCAGCAGGTCTTACCATCCTGTGGTCAAGCACCCCGTATAGCAGTGGGGCGTGGTTGTTGTCCTGGCTGTACAGGTTCTTACTCACAACCTGAATGTGTGCCTGCTGGCGCATCTCCTCGGCTGATTTCATTCCAAAACAGATGTGGCTTCTGGAATGGAAAGAGATAGGGGAACAGTTACATCAAAACCACTTACCAGGAAGAGCATTTTCGCATGTGACCCACCATAAGCAACCTTATCCTTAGCCTGACAGGCTCTGCTCTCTCATTACTAAATGTTCCTTCATCCAGCTGACTTGTTCTCACTTTCATTATCTGAGGATGGTGCGCATCAGTTGTACCTACCTCCTCGCTGCTCAATCCAGGAAGAATTGCTCATTTTAAGGTCTCTCTGTAGCACTGGCAGTGACCTCTTCACCCCTTATCTTGCAGTAATTACTTTTCTTGGCTTTGGTAACACCATCCATGCTTTGAGTCTTTTCCCCTCTCTGGCTGTTACATCTTAAGTTTCTTTTGTGGTCTCTTCTACTGCTCTCTCTGAGATATTGGCTTTTCTCCTTACCTGGGACCTCCTTACCTTACAACCCCAATCCTCCTTGCACTCTACACCTTCTTCCCGAGTGGGGTCTGTCTAATTTCTATCTGGAGGCCAACTATTCCGACTCAGCCGGAGATCATACACACATCTCCTTTGGACAGTTACACAAGTACCTAAATTCGGCACTTCCTCTCCCAGATCTGTTCCTTTGTTCATTTTCCCAACAAGCTGGGGGTTTATGATGTGCCAGGCACCATCCTGAGGGGCTGAGGGTACAGGTTAGACAAGACAAACTCCCTGCCAACATGGGGCTCAGTTTCAGGGAGGGCAAGACAGAGAATAAACAAACAGATTCACAAAAGTGAATAGATGCAAAGACTGAAAAAACTGAAGCGTAGGGGACAGTTTGACAAGACTATGTTATGTGGCCAGAAAGTCTGGAAAATTGATATTTCAGCTCAATTCTGAATCAGAGGGAGCCAGTCATAAGATGATCAAGAAGTCATGCATAGGAAGTACAGCTTAACTAGGGCAAGGGTTCTAGAGCCAGCTCAAGCCTGGCATTTTCAAGGCACCAAATGAGACCAGTTGTGTAGAGCACAGAAAGCTAATGGTACAAGAAAAAGTCAGTGAGGTATGCAAAGACCAGCTTTAAGAGGGCTTCGGAACTCTGACAGGCAATTTAAATGTTAGTCCAAGGGAAAGCTGCTCGAAGAGTTCAAACTGAAGTGTCAGGATCTAATTTGCATTTTAACAGTCAGTCAGGGGGTCAGAGGAAAACAGATTATATCTACATCTGAATAGAGCTGGGGGTTGGGATGGGTTTGGAGGGACCACCTGGGATAATTTACCCAGGAAAGAGGCAAGTTTCCCATTCCAGTGAATGGCAACCTCCACACAGTCACCCAAGCAAGAAATTCTGAGCATCAGTCTCATCTCTCTCTTACCCATCCCTACCAAAATTGTCAATTTCACACCCCTCAACCGAGAGAATGGCCATCATCAAAAATTCTACAAATAATAAATGCTGGGGAGTGTGTGGAGAAAAAGGAACCCTCATTCACTGTTGGTGGGAATGTCAATTGGTACAACCAGTAGAGAGAAAAGTACAGAGGTTCCTTTAAAAACTAAAAAGAGTTACTGTATGATCCAGCAAGCCCACTCCTGGGCATATATCTGGAGAAAACTACAATTTGAAAAGCTACACCTCAGTGTACACTGCAGCTCTATTGACAATAGCCAAGACACGGAAGCAACCTAAAAGTCCATCAAGAGATGCATGGATAAGACGTGGTGTGTGTGTATGCATATACACAGAAACCACACACACACCATAAAAAAAAATGCCATTTTCAGTAACATGGATGGCTCTAGAGATTATCCTACTAAGTAAAGTAAGCTAGACAGAGAAAGACAAATGTCATATGATGTTGCTTATATGTGGGGGAGAAAAAGGTACAAATGAACTTATTTACAAAAGAGAAACAGACCCACACACACAGCAAACAAACTTATAGTTACCAAAGGGGCAGGTGGCAGTGGCAGAGATAAATTAGGAGTTTGACATGAAAATATACACTTACTATATTTAAGATAGATATCCAACAAGAAACTACTGTATGGCACAGAAATGTATACTTAATGTTATATATATAATAAAAGGTATATTTTTTAGATTCTTTAACAGATACTATACGTATTGTTTCTTATATCTATTATAGGCATATTATGTTATTTTCACATATATATTCTTTCTTAGATTACATATACATATTCTTTTTTAGATTCTTTTCCCTTACAGGTTCTAAAAAAAAGACTATCCAAAGTAATTAGCCTCCAACTAAAAAAAAAAAAAAAAGAGTATCTGTCTGCATTGTAGGAACTGCAGGAGACGTGGGTTCGATCCCTGGGTCCAGAAGATCCCCTGGAGAAGGGCACACAATCCACTCCAGTATTCCTGCCTACAGAATCCCATGGACAGAGGAGCCTGGTGGGTTACCGTCCAGGCAGTTCACAAAGAGTCAGACACGAGTGAAGTGACTGAGCACACATGCATATAACTGACTAACACAACATTGTAAATCAACTATACTTTAATTGACCAAAAAAAACCCTCACTGCCTGCAAGATGACTCTGGAACAAAGCTTCAAAATCAGTTTTCTTCTCATCACTGTAATGTCTCCCTCCTCTATGCTCCTGCAAGAAGGCTGTTCGGTTTGCTTTCTTCAGTCTGAACCCCTTTCCCGTTGGTGCCAACCCTTGTCCTTGCACTTGTCCAGCTCAACCATTGACTTGCCTACCTTCTCCAACTAGGCTAAGCAGTAAGGTCTTCCTCATGTCACATCTCTAATGCCTATCACTGGACCCAGCACACAGTACCTTCCTCAACTAAGTGTCTCCTGCAAGAACGATTGATTTATTTCTTTACTGGAAGTTCTAAGGCGAGGCTGTGACCTATTAAATTTCATCTCATTTTTGAGACTGCTATCCATGTGCCTGTGACACAGCTTTCTACCTGGTGACTCCATTCTTTCGGTCAACAAATATTACGTCCGTGTCATGTGTTCTGCAGCAAAATGAGTCCCCGACCCAGGTTGCTTTCCAAGCTGCAGTGACCAAAAATTCGCAGAAAGGAATCATCATCTGACCTCAGTAAAACTCGAGCTTCGACCCAGGGTGTAAGTTATCGCCAAGGTTCCCACCACATCTCCCATTCTCTGCCGAAAACCAATGGAACACCCCTGGCCTGCGGTTCCCCAGATGCTGAAATACCCTCTGCCCAATCAATATTCATTAATCTAACCTGTGCCCACACCTCCCACTGATTCTTGGTCCTTTCCTTCCAACTGACCCTCAGCTATGACGCTTCGAGACCCAAGACCCCTGACCTTGGATTCCTTTACCCCGAATTTCTCTGCCCTTTGGCGATTTTGGCTCCATCTTACATTTTCTTGGCCACATCTGTCTCCCGGAACTGCTCCTTCACCATGGTGACGGCTGCAGGGGCTCCCTCCTATAAATTCGTGGAGCTGGATTAGAAACACGATGTTCTCCGTACCACCCGTGTCTGCTTCTGGACCGGTTGCTAACACACCTGCGGCATTTTTTCGGCCACCGTAGCACGCCCCACATGCCCGCCCCCACTTCCGCTACTCGCTAGCGCGAGTCTGTCAAGAGAGGCTTCAGGCACGCAGCTTCTCGCCTTCTCCCCATACCGCCTTCTGGTGGCACCTCGTTGAAACCGCCGCGAAGCCTGAGCTGTATTTTCCAAGTTCCATTTCCAATCTATTTCTGGTTTATTGGTCTGTCTCTTTCTGAACCTGCATTTTTTTTAAAAAATTTTATTGCTACACGGACAAATTTCAAATATCAAATACTTATTAAAAGCTATAAAGAAAGCTGAGCACTGAAGAACTGATGCTTTTGAACTGTGGTATTGTAGAAGACTCTTGAGAGTCCCTTGGACTGTAAGGAGATCAAACCAGTCCATCCTAAAGATCAGCCCTGGGTGTTCATTGGAAGGACTGATGTTGAAGCTGAAACTCCAATACTTTGGCCACCTGATGAGAAGAGCTGACTCACTGGAAAAGACCCTGATGCTGGAAAAAATTGAGGGCAGGAGGAGAAGGGGACGACAGAGGATGAGATGGTTGGATGGCCTCACCGACTCAATGGACATGAGTTTGGGTAAACTTCGGGAGTTGGTGATGGACAGGGAGGCCTGGCGTGCTGTGGTTCATGGGGTCGCAAAGAGTTGGACACGACTGAGAAACTGAACTGAACTGATTAAAAGCTCAATTTTAACCCTGAGGGTTGGGATGGGGAGGAAGGTGGGAGGGGGCGTTCATGATGGGGACACATGTACACCTATAGTTGATTCAAGTTAATGTATGGCAAAAACCACTACAGTATTGTAAATTAATTAGCCTCCAATTAAAATAAATAAATTTACCAAAAAAAAAAAAAAAAAAGCTCACTTTTGTAGGGACTAAGATTTTCATGAAAAGACAAAGTTTTGGAAAAAATTTTAGACAATCAGATTCTCTAATCTCACAAAAATAATAGCAACGGTCAGTTCTGCGTACTTGAAATAACAAAAGGTTTGGAGTCAGTTCTGCAGTTTCCCCAGCGGTAAAACGAGGAGGCTGGTCGAGAGGACCGTCAAGGATGCCTTCCGGCTTTACCAACCGCTAACGCGGGTGGAGGGGATTTAACTTTAATCTGGTTTAACTTAATTTTAAGTTCAGACAGTCCAAAATAATGAATCGAAGCGGAACAAGTGCTAGCGTAAACCTACTCCGTCTAAACTGTGCGCCCTCGGGATTGGCCAGTTCCCGTTCTGGGGGGTGTGGCGAAAGACCACAGAGTCCAGATTTTTTAAGCACTTTCAAACAGGCATTGGCGAGGTCGGCCTCACGGTCCGGCCACGCCCCCACGTCGGCGCGGTCCGGGGACCTTCCGTGAGCGTTGATATGATTGGCCGGAGAAGTTTAGCCCTCTTTTCCTCCCTGGCTGCTTGAAGATCAGCCGCCATCATGGTGAGTCTCTCCGGACCCATGCACCCATCCGCCGCATATCTGAGCCATCCTCCGTCCCCTGGTTCTGACATTGGCGTTACAGCCCCCCGCAAAGCCCGGTTACTTTTCCATGGCCGAGTCTGACCGGGGAGACCTGTTGCCGAGGGTCTGGGAGCCGCCGGCGAGGAGTCCGGGCTGTGTGCTGTCTACTAGACATGTTGGGCTTTCAAGAGTCCCAGGAATGGGGGATTGCGGGAGTACCTACTGAGTTCGTCGGCTTCGTGGAGTCTAGTGGGTGGGGTGGGGTGAAGAGAGAGACATCACATTTGCACTCCCAACTTGGGGTAGGCGGTTGGCCAGTGAAGGCAGCCCAGGACGTGAAGAGGGTGCCAGCAGCGCCCGGGCGAGTTGCGACGAGTGAAACTGTTACGTGTAAGCTACAGTTACTGTCAGCCGAATGGATTCTCTTGTTTCACAGGGGGAAACGGAGGCCCCGGGGTGTGGCGCTTACCATGCCCCACATGTTCTAGTTCCACATGTTACTAGTTCACTCATTTGCAGGTTCATCGGTTTTTAACCCCGCTCCATCTTCGACCTGTTTTTTACTTGATCCCGACTTTAAGAAATTGAACATTGTTGAAGTGGGTTTAGTTTGGTGTGGTTTTTTTAAAACTGTAGTTGAAATAGCTATCAGTTTACCGTGAGAGCTCTTCTTACCGGTTAAGTTTTCGTTTTTAGTGTAAAGATGCTGAATGCCCACATTCTCTGGTAGTTATTGTGTAAAAGCAGGGGGCTATTCAGAAGGGAATACGTTTTTTTGTGGGATGTAGAGTTGGTCATTCAAGAAGGGTAGTTTACATGAAGATAGTGCAGTGCTTGTCAGATCTCTGCAGGCTGCTACAAACAGGGTGGTCTGACGATAACAATTGTAGAATCACAGCTTCATCCCAGAGAAGTGGGGCTTGGGGTGATTTTTGTCTTTAAGGGTACAATTGGCAAAGTCTGGAGACATTCTTACAACTAGGAAGTGGGTGTGCTACTAAACATTCTGAAATGCATGGGACAGTCCACACAACAAAGTAGTAGCTGGGCCAAGACATCAGAGGTTTGAGAAACCTGGAGAGTGATTTCTGTAACAAAATGAAGTAAGCCTTTACAGATTCAGTGTGTGGCTGTTGAGCACATATTCTTGGTACTGTTTTTGTGTTGGGGTGACCTGTGAGTTAGGCAGTTTGCTAGTAAGTGTGTTAGGAGGAGATGGGAATTGGTGCTTTTTTTTCCCTTTTATTCAAGGTTCCCTGGCACTGACGGCGTGTGACTCCTTTGTTTTTAGTTAACTGTTCACAGATAGCGGCTATTGATGTGGACCTTGCAGTTCTAGATCTTGGAAAATCAGTAAGGTCAGGAAAAGATTGACTAGTTATTAAAACTATTAAAACGAGTGTTATGTTTTCAGAACGACACAGTAACTATCCGGACTAGGAAGTTCATGACCAACCGGCTGCTTCAGCGGAAACAAATGGTAAGGGAGGGTATGTCAAAGTTTGGTTGTTACTCAGTTTTGAAGATGTATTCATTGTAGTATACATTAAGCTTGATAATTTCTTCTTAGGTCATTGATGTTCTTCACCCTGGAAAGGCAACAGTACCTAAAACAGAAATTCGGGAAAAACTGGCCAAAATGTACAAGACCACACCAGATGTCATCTTTGTATTTGGATTCAGAACCCATTTTGGTGGTGGCAAGACAACTGGCTTCGGCATGATTTACGATTCTTTGGATTACGCGAAGAAGAATGAGCCCAAACATAGGCTTGCAAGAGTAGGTGTTCTCATTTGTACAGTTGCTGCTGAAGACATTTTTTTTAATGGCATTGTGGGTTCAGCAGAATGAGCAAGAGCAAGCAGTCTGGAGGGACAGCACACTAAATAACTCTTCAGTGGTTGACAGAAAAGGTTCTATGATAAACACACAGGTAGAGTATGGGGTTCAGAATGGTGTCTGCAGGATTTGAGGAGATGCCTTTTGAGCTGGGTCTGGAAGAGCAGGTGACATGCTCCTGGAGGTAGGAGCTGGCTGGCAGTAGAGGGATGGATTTAGAAACCGTAGGTTGGCGCTACATGAAGTGAAATGATCCCAAATGTCTTGAGTTTGGGCTTAGCTTCATAGGAGCCATGAAAAGTTTCGGGTGATTTCCTGAATACCAAGTACATAGTGAAGTACAGTTGATCCTTGAAGAACGCTGGTTTGAACGTCCACTTATACGCAGATAATTTTTCAGTCGTAAAGTTACAGTACAGTGATCCGAGGTTGGTTGAATACATAGGGGCAAAAGAAAGCGGATGTGGAGGGCCAAGCCAGCTATACATTCTACTAAGATACTTGACTCTGTTGAGATTTGACGTGCTTATTCCTGGAGTTGGATGAATTGATGTTTGCAAGTCGTATGTTCATATATACACATATACACCTTTTTTTTTCAGCACGGCCTGTATGAGAAGAAAAAGACCTCAAGAAAACAGCGAAAAGAACGCAAGAACAGAATGAAGAAAGTCAGGGGGACTGCAAAGGCCAATGTTGGTGCTGGCAAAAAGGTATAGTTTATCAAGGAAGATACAGAAATATCAGTTTCAGGTTTTTAGTTTGTAGAAAAGTGGGGTTTTGTTTTCTTAATAACCTTTCTTAATGTTTCTTCTTTTCCCACTTCTTCTGGATTACAGAAGGTAACCTGTTTTGAGAAGCCACGTAACGTAGTATCTTAACACCTCAGTAGAGTAGCTTTGCCCACCCCTTAGCTCACAGATTAGCACAGCACAGGGCCACATCGGTTCAGTGATCCTGGTGGGTGCCTTGCAAGTCTTACCAGGAAAGTTTTCACTTTACTGCTAATTGCAAAGGTTTGTAAAGAGGGAGCGGATCTAGGTTCCCAAGACTGATGTTCTTAGAATTGGCAACTGAGTGAGGAAGCAGCTGAATCAATGTGGCCCGTGTTTTCCTGGCATGCTGGAGAGGTGGCACGGTTTTCCGTTGCTTTCCTCTCCAGTTAGTCAGGACTTGAGTGATTTTAATTCTCAGCTTTTTACCAGCTTGGCTAGCTAATTGTAAGTAGTTGAATGGAATTAAGGTGTTGGGTTGTCAAATTAACAAATAATTAAGTGTTCTGTGAACTTTTTTTTTTTGCCTTTTCCCTCTACTTTCTTGGAATTCTTGTTCATCAGAAATGAAGTGTCTAGCAGGTACTGAGATTGTGAGCACGGTGTGGGGATGGATGCATCACCTTCACTGAGTTTGCTTTGATGCTTTGCATGTTGGCTTTCAGAGGAGAGTTTTGTAGCATAGTCTATTATATAACACTATATAAAACTACTGCTTTGGTTTAAAATAGTATATTGTGAGCAAAGAAGAGAAACTTTAAATGACATTTATTTTGGAAACTCCGAAATGCATGTTAAGTTGTGAAGTGGCCCAGTGGAGGAAGATGGCCCCTTTTAATTGGCACTTGCTGTGTTCCAGAGCACCACACACTCAGGAAATAAATGGCTTTCCATTAATAAGGGCTTGGGAAGGGTTTTATGATCCAGTCATGAGCAGTGTCTCTCTTGGAGACTGGTTG